CCTATCCACTTAGAACCCCCCACGGTCATCCCAGTGGAGGGCGTCTTCGCGGTGGCTCGGGGCTGTCTGGGGCCGCTGAGCCGGCTGTCTCATCGCTCTGGGGGCCGATCTGCAGCCCCCCAACCAGCGGGCCCGGCCCCGAAGCGCCCCGAAAAAAGGGTCGCCACCCCCGGGGCCCAAAAAGGAGACCGGAGGGGGGGGAATTTTGATAAAGCGTGTCGCCCCCGGGGCCGAAGGCTCCGTTCCCCTTGGACAATATCTCAATATATAGGTGCACGTGTATATATGTACATATCTAGAGAGTGGGAGAAAGGTCTTCGCATAATGAGATTATGAGATAAACGATGGCGCCCGCATGTTTTCATTTGAGAGGGGTGAAAGGAAGTGGCGTGGGGCGCCCATGCGGCGCCCACCGGCGGGCACCAACCGACACCCCGACACATCATCCCCAAAACAGCGAGGCGCCGACGAAGCGCCGATGCGCAGGCACAAGCTGAAACACCGACAGACCCCTAAATCGCGTAGCGCTCACGAAGCGCCCACCAAACGGGCAGCAACCGAAACACTAGGATACCTCGAAAACGCGGAGGGCCCTCCTACCCCTGACGCCTCCATTCCCCCACTGCTCGCCCTCCGTGCCACCCTGCCCACTGCCCACTTCCGCTCCCCCTCCTTCTCCTCCTCATCCCCACTGCTCGTCCTCCACCTCGACTCCTTATCATACTCCTCCAATGTATCTTCTCCCTTCCTCCGCCAAATTTGGCTGCCGACACTCACCTCGACGTTGCTCAAAAGAGCATCAGCTACTCATTCGTATATCATTGCGGGTGCCAATCACAACTGTAACCATCCATAGTGCACAGCACCGTCCAATTGCGCGCAAGACTACAGCGGACAACCCTAGCAGACGAACACGTGCGAGCTGACACCGCATGCCAATACTTCCGCAGCGGGGGCGCGACGCGGCGAATGCCTGTGGCACCTTCCTGATTAAAACATAACGGCCCCCTGTGGCATGTGTCCTGAGCATCATCATGATGCGACTCCGGTTGGGTGGGCGTAAACCCATTCCCAATACTGGGGAAGCTGGCGACATGTCGAGATCCTCTCAGACCCCAAACGACGTAAGCACCGAGGCAAATGGCGAGCAACGCTTCCCTGTACTGCTCAAACGGGAACTTGTGCATAGAGAGAGGGAGAGCTGCACACAATTCGCAGAAGCTGAATTCCAGGAAGGCCGCGACAGGGTGATAAGCGCGCTCGCGCCACAATCCAAATCCCGCCAGCCCGTTGGGCTAAGGTGGTCTAGCGATGTCCTCCTTTTCTCTTCCAGAAACCTTCTTCCCTCTGGGGCGGGGCTCCCCCTCCCTGGCCCGAATTGCTTCTAGGCGCGGGCCGCGAAATGTCAGAATGTCAGAGGGTCCGTGTCCGCCCAGGATGTGTCAACAGGGGCCTCATATCCTCAAAGATGGCCTCCAAGGCGGCTCAAGATACGGGGGGGGGGGGGGCATTTTTTTTAATCCTATCACCCTGGGAGTTATCGTGCACAGACAAATTCAGATGCCGTCTCACGGCCCCGCAAACAGCGCTTGCGCGAGCCAGCAGCCCGCCAGGACCAGACCCCGAAGCGCGGCACCATCACACCGCGCTGAGGCCGACTTCAGGCCTGGGGTCCACCGACCTGGCCGCTCTGGCGGCCCCGCCTCGCTCCTGAGCTTCAGCAGCGCTGGCAAAGCCGAAGGAGCCCAGGGCTCCCTCGACCCCTGGGCGAAACAGCCTCCCTGGGGCAGGCGGGGCGGGTGCCCGTCCCCGCCCCTCTGGGGGCTCCACGCTCGCAAAGAGAAGGCGGTGTCCGCCGCCTACTGCTGGAGCTGCGCCTCGCGCCTCCGCTGACGCTCCTGCCTGGCCCACGCCCTCCACGGGGAGCCAGGCCCGAACGTGTCACGGAGCCAGAGGCGCCCAGCTTCTAGCTCGGAGGCTGAGGGAGCTGGAGGAGCGTCGTCGCCGCCGTCGCCCTGCCAGCCCGGCCTCCGAATGTCACGGTCGACCGTGAGGGCCACTGTTCCCTCGAAGACGTGGCGGCGCAGCGCCAAGAGCCGTTTGGGCCCACGCGCGGGTTCCTGGCGCGCCACCGTCTCCGAGCCGTGGAGCGTACAGCCGCCACCGACGCCGCCCTCGCCGTCCTCCACATCGATCCCCCCGCCGCCAGAGCAGGAGCAGGAACCCGAGGGAGGCGAAGTGAGGGGGGCATTGGGTAAGGAACCCTTCGATAAGGAATCCATGGTCTGGAGGTCGGTGGAACTCCGATCGAGGCCTGGCCATGGATATCTCCGCCGCCCTCATCAGGTAAGGAACCCTCCAGGGTCGGCAGCATAATTGCTGGGCGCAGTCCTGAACCAGCGCCTCCACCGCAACCGAAGATTGCTCAGGACAGCTTCCGACAAGCCTTCCAAGACCCAACGCGGGGCCGCACGAGGGCTCCAAGGGCTATCGCGGCCCCCTCGACACCCCCCCCCGGAGAGGCCAACGTGCTTCGACAACCCAAGGGGGATCAATGCTCTGTGCCCTCTCGCCTTTTCGCTACCGATGCGCCTTTGATGCCCACAGGTGGCTCCAGGATGGCCTCCACGACAGCCCCGAGAGCGCCCAAGATCGCCGCAAGGACGCCTTTAGAGGGCCCCAAGGAGGGGTTTCGAGTGCCCCATCAGGGGGACCAAACGCTGCGACCCCACAAGAGCCTCGAGAGGACTCCAAGATCCCACAAAAAAGAGCCCCTGAAGGGTTCCAAGAGGAGAGTTGAAGGACTCTCCCCTCGTCCTCGCTGTCCTGCTCCTTCTCCTCCTCGTCCTCGTTGTCGTCCTCGCCCTCAGCGTATTCATTTTCCTTGTCCTCCTCTTCCTCGTTGTGGTCGTGGTGGTGGTGGTGGTCGTCGTCGTCAACTTCCTCCTCCTCTGTTTCTCGCCGCCACGCGGGCCCCAGGAATGGCCCGACGAGGCCCTCCGAGGCCACACCCTAGTTGCCCGCTCTGTTGCACTGTATACATTCATATTAGTATGTTTGTATACACATATATACACATGTAGGTATGTATGTGTACATGTGTCTCTTCGTCCATCTTCCCGTCAACTCTCACGCGTAGGGTTTCTGGATGGGCCGGTGGGGATACGCGGAGCGTGAAGATCTGCAATGGTATTAGAGACTCTCGTCCACCGGACACGCGCAACCCACGATACCGAGGGGCGCCCAGAACCCACCAGTGCCCACTGCGGCCAGAGGCGAGCGAACGGCGGATGGAATTCCGATGATTCTGTGCAGGAGTGGCGGCGGGGAGGGGGAGCTGCCGAAATGCCTGCAGGTGCCAGTGCTCCACGCTGGCATCTGTAGGCGTATCCATATTGCTCCTCGACTCCCCCAGCGTGCCCGGTCGCATTTCTGTTTGACGACGCGCGGCAATGAAATGTCGGTGACGAGTCACTGGCGCGGGCTCGGCATGTCCAGCAACAAAAATGTGGGTGGGTGTGAACCCATCCCCAAACTGAGTCTTCAAATTTTCAGCGGTGGCATCAAAACAATTGAGTTGCACGGTTTGCCCGTGAAGCTCAGCTGGAAGACGACAGCCGAGAGAACTCTTATCAGAAGTGTCGTCGCTACGAACACTGGGAAGCAAGACGTGCCTTGCGCCTCACATTTGTTTCCATGATTTGCTGTTGCTCTTGGAGTGCAGCTCCATAACGAATATGAGACGCTCATAACTCGCATCTCGCCGAGCGCACACTTTGTCGTCTGCAGGTCGATGCAGGGTGCCGAGGCGCCAGGTTGGCTGCAGACAGCGGAGAGGAGTGCAACTGGTATCAGAAGCGCCGTCGCTGCGAATCCTGGGAAAGCAAGGCGTGCCTTGCGTCTCATGTTTGCTTGGATGCCTCGATCATGCTCTCTGGAAGTGCCGATCCAGACCAAACATGGGATGCTCATCATTCGCACCTCGCCGAGCGCACACCTTGTGGTCTGCACGTCGGCGCCGGGTGCCGAGGCGCCAGGCCGGCTGCACACACCCGAAAAAGAACGCATAAAAGGAGACGACCGCGTGGCTCGCCCTGGATGCGGCCAGGCGATGGCGCCGCACCCAAACTTCCCTGGCGTGATGGGCCTGTTCTCCACCACCACAACAACCGCAAGTTGGAGGGGGGAAAGAGGAAGAGGACGAGGAGGAAGAGGAGGAGGAGGAGGACGAGGAGGCGGAGGAGGAGGAGGTGGCGGAGGACCCCTCCCCCTCCAACTTATGGTGGTGGTAACGGAAAGCAGGCCTCTGGGGTCCCGAGGGAAACGGGTCCTAGACCCCAGGGCTGCCAGACCAGTCCTTCCTCCCGAGTTGGCTCCATACGGCCCTGGAGTCCCTCGAGGGCCCCGATGCCCGATTCCTCCAAGATCCGCCTCGCTGGGCCTAAAACTCTCCCAGCGGCCCCCCGCCGGATACCACGCCAGGCCGCCGGCCCCGACTGCTGCAGGGGGCGGCTCTGGCGGCGGGGCCAGCGAAAAGTGCTGGAGCCGCTTCGGACCCTTGCGCCGCACGGCGCAATTCGAGAGGCCACGCGGGTCTCGGAGGCCATCCGAGTAGATGTTGTCGGAGGATCGCGCAGCATCGCCATTGCATCGGCGATGCATCGGTAAAGTATCGACGACGTCGCCGATGTGTCGGCGCCGTCGGCGTGGAGAACATCGGGCTCCACATCGAGCCCATTCGCCGATGCATCGGCGATGCGGCGCGATTCTCCGGCCCCATCTACTCGGACCCCATCTGGGAGGCCTAGCGGGACAAGGTTAATAGGGGAGGGAAGACGGCAATGGGGGGAGGGAGGAGGAGGACTGGGAGCAGCAGCAGCAGGCGGCGAAGCATGAGGACGAGGAGCAGCATGAGGAGGAAGAGGAGGAGAGGCAGGAGGAGGAGGACGGCGAGGAGCAGCAGCAGGAGGAACAGCAGGAGGAAAAGGCGCCGTGTCGTGTCAACGGTGCACCGCACGGCGCAACTCCCTGGAGACGGCGCCCGCCCAGCTCCTAGGGTTAGGTCGGGCGTGTCCCCCTACAGGCAGATCTTGGACGAAGAACAAACAGTTGGCGAGACATATGACCCCCAATCGGCAAAACATGATCAACACATTGTCCCCCGACTATCTTTGGACTATTTTTGGGTACTCCTCCTGTAGAGGGTCGGAAGCCGGGCAAAGGCTGCTAAATCCGTGGCTGCTAAAATCGACCTCCGGGAAATTGTCTTCGCCCTTCCGGGAAGAAACCCGTCGACCGTTTCGCGTGCCGCGCCTCATTCCGGGAAGCTGTTTTTTCCTTCCGGGAGGGCCGTTTTAGCAGCCACGGTCTCAGCAGCCTTCGCCTTCGCCCAGCTTTCGAGAGGGACAGGCCCGACTCAACGCAAGTCCCTGGAGACGGCGCCCGCCCAGCTCCTGGGGCTGCCAGCGGCGCCTCCGCCTGCGGCGCCCTCTGCCGCCGGCCGCGCCTCCGCCGCCCGCAGGAGGCCCCCATCCTCGTCGTGGCACGGGCGGCGCGGCCTCTGGGGGAGGGGGGCTGAGCTATAGGGGAACGAACAATGACATAGACATAAAAACTCTGAGGTCCACGCGGATTCCTCGGGTCGGCGCTGGACACCACTCCCTGGCGCGCGGAGCGCGCCAGGGGCGGCGCGGGGGGCGCCGCCAAGGGGGTGCATCGCGGATCCATGAAATCCGCGTGGACCTCCGAGTTTTTATGTTCATGTCATTGTTCGTTCCACCCAGAGCAGAAACTGATGCCGCGACTCCCTGGACCTTGAGGACTACCTTTTCAGTCGGGCACGTCCCTCAACAGGAGAAGGGTTCAAAAAGAGTCCAAAAATGGTCTGGGGAAAAGGTTCTGACTCTCTGTGGCCATGTTCGCACACTGTGTGACTATCTGTCACTTTTCTTCCGAAATCCGCCTGTAGGGGGACATGCCCGACCTAAGACTACCTACCAGACCACCACAGCCCAACCCGAAGACCCGAACTTCGGGTTAGGGGGGGGTGCGGGTTTCATGTATGTTTTTGTTTCCATGTGCCCCGACCATCCCCCACTCGGAGTGAGGGCGAACTGGGGCCTTCGGGTTGGGTCAGGGTGGTCTGGTGGGTGGTGGCTTTCTCGGGGGGGCGAAAAGGGGAGGACATCAAATAGGCGCGTTCCAGTACTCGCAAAAAGGAACTACTCTCAAATGGCCTGGATCCCCGGCGCAGGATATACGATACATTACATCAAAACAGAAATGTGTGTTTTTTTCCGGACGCTTGCAATTGGGCACTTTGCGCGTAGTGGAACGCGGTCGGTGATCAAAGGGCAGGGTGGAGAATCAGCTCACGTAGCTGGTCGTCCTGGCGCCTCCTGGCGCCGGGAGGCGCCCATGTATCGAGGAACTGGCCAAGCGGCGGGGCCGAAAGAAACTGCATGCATCAAAGTTGGTAACACACCCTTGCCCTATCCCCCTTTCCGTTCGGCCCAGATTTCCCAAGGCTCCATTTTGACAAGGCTTCCGAGACGCATCCACCAGCGGCGACGGATGGGCCAGGTCAGCGGCATCGGCATCTTCCTTCGGCGGCGCGCGCAAAAGGGTAGAGGAAGGGGGGAGGCTTCTTGGAAGGAGGCTGCTTCGTAGAAGGCGCCAGCCATATCTATAGATGTGAGGCCAGCGCCCTCTTAGAAGACACCTCCTCCTAAGAAGCCATCCCCCCTCCCCTGGACCCCCTGCGCGCGGAGCAGACCCGCCCCCTCTGAGCCTCACGCCCAGCTCCCAAGGCGAGCGCGCTGGCTGCAGGGCAGCGGCGGCCTCCCAGCGGGGGCCATAGAGGGGGAGCGTCCAAGAAGGGAGTGGCGCAAATCATGGCCGGCGGCACGTGCGCGGCCCAAGGGGGGAGCCGTGGACGTATTGAAATCCGCTGATCCGGCGTGTTGTTTTAAGGGGGAAGGGGTGACCGGGGTGGCTCTGCCGGGGTAGGGGGGGGGGTCCGGTGGCGTGGGTTTTGGCGGCGTCGGGGCGGGCGGGGGGGGGTCCGGTGGCCGGGGTGGC